TTACATTATTTACATTATTTAGTCATCGAATTTAGGTTTTTTATATCACAGAATACGGTGGAGGTTCATTATATTTACAAGTTGTATACAGATTTAATATTTACATTGGATGAATGAAGATACGAAAGAACATTTTGATTCGGATCATTTATTATTTCAGAAAGGTAAGTTGCTGTAGCAAGGAGAGCACATGATGGATCGTACACACCATAAAGAGTGCGAGGTGAAAGATAGGGATAATCTGTTTCCAATATTAGTCGATTAGGAAGAAACGGAGATCGACTCACTAACCAATTTTCGAATATGAGATTATTTTCGGTATTTGTTCCGTAAGTAATGGATCCGTTGAGACCAATATATGAATTTGGAAATTCATTCAAAAAAAAGTCAACAACTTGCAAATTTGCATTATTATTTATACAATGCCAATGGATTGGTAAATTTCTGTTTGATACTCGGTATTTCAAACAATCATATAATTTTCGATAGAGATGGATACCACGGCAATGAAGAACAAGTGGAAGATGAAATATGATGGCAAGGTCTATTTGTTTTTCAAGGACAAATATTTGCTGTTCGATAGTTGCCGTACTCGTTTCATCTAAGCCGCATTCCCCAACAGCAACAAGCTTATTTTTAGAATTGGGACTTTTATTCGATACTTCCAAACGATTTCGAAGATCATCAATGATGTGGTATATGGATTGAGTATTAAAGTATTTGGGATGGATACCAAGTGTGGGATGTATATGAACATGTGAGGAGAATAGGGAAGGACAAGGAGTTAGCCATTCATCAGGCTTATGATTGTTATTTATAAAATGGAATTCTCGCAATGGAGGAGTTATTTGGACTGAAATAAGATCAGATTGAAGTTTGGGAATAACCTGATTAAGATGTATATGACCATCATAAATAGGAATATTAGGTGGAATATGATTTCTTCGTCCACATCTTTGATCACAAAAGGACGAAATGCTGGTGGTACAAAATGTATCGACAAAACAATGATTCATATCTACAACAAAATATTTCAAGGATTGAGAAGACAACATAGTAATTTCAGCTTAACATCATAATTAGAAAACTTAACTGTTAATAATATTTCAATACAAAATAATTTTAAAAGATCATTTACATACAACAGAGAAGAGTCACATTTCGATTTGGGTAATTAAAGTTAACAGAAAAGATCTGAATTTATTCATTCATCTATGTAAAAAAAAATTTACGATCTTCGAAAACTTTTAAATTGATTTTGAGAACGAGGTAAAAATAAGGTATGAAATCTTTTTTCAGGTGCCCAAACTAGCGAATCTTCAGAGTTTGTTTCACCTTCATCTTCTTCTTCAGTTCCTCTTCTACGCAGATCAAGTTCTGCAGACTCTTCTTCACTTTCTACATCATTTTCTTCATCAATACGGGTGTAAGTATTATATTCAGTTGTAGATTCATATTCACTCAGGTCTTCAACAAAATCGTACACACCTGTACGCGCAAATATAGCCATCGCTTCTCTTTCGTTCTCATCCTCAAAGTTCATTTCCAACATTCGATACATTTTCTGAAGCATAGTAAGAAGAGGATTTTTAGCTGGATTCGTAGATGAGAAGTAGAGGCGAGAAAGTATATCATTGTTCTTCTCAACGCCTTGCATATTGTAATCTCCAAGGTCATTAAACTCATCAAATTCAAATAAGTGATTACCAATTATGTGAATATAGGGAGTAACAGTCGTGCGAAGACCACTTTGTCGAAACTCTTTAACAAACTCGAGCGACAAACGTTTAAGAACACCTTTTTGTTTTATAGAACTATGCTTCAGCTGATTAAGAATCTGCTTAAATTTGTTGACAACAGCTCGAGCTGATTTAGCGACTTCATTGATAAGAATATCATCATAAGGAAAACTGTCAACAAAAAAAAGGTCTTGAAGATGACCAGTAAGTTTTCCATGAGAACCTATTGTTTTATTTTTATCATCTGAGTCCATTTGAAAGAAAAAACGTTTTCCTACAGTTTTCTCACAATGCTGGTTAAGAATTTCAATTTTTTGTTGAATGATGGTTGAGTGCTCATTGCCATATTTACCGGTTCGAGAAGCACATGAGAGTATATCTTTCAAAATCACGTCAAAAACTCGTAGTTTCATATGAAGTGTGTCGATACAATAATCCTGGTAATTAAAGAGATCTCCAAAAAGAGGTTCACATTTATATCCTAAATCATTATTTTTCATTGTTAAGCACGAGGCTTGTTCGACAAGAGACCGTGCTCGCTTAGCCGGATCATAACTAGAAGTAGGACCAACACGAACGGTAATAGTTTTCTTATTCTTTCCTTTTCCTTCTGTAATATTTTTATCGTATGCTGTATCTTCAGTTACATGAAGGTCATCTTTATGTTGTGTACAAAAGATACAAGGGTAATTGGAGCTAAATCCAGAAAGTCCGTACACATAAACCGCATTCATCAGGTCGCCACCTAGTCGAACACGGATATCGATAACTTTTGATCCTATAGAAATTTGTTTAACAGATTTAATATCACTAATAAAATCAGCTGGCAAACTTTTACGCAATATTTCTGTATTCTCTTTCTGTACTTCAAAAAGACCTAAAGGAACTAGATTTGTAGCCATTTGGCATTCATGACCCCCTTCGATACAATTTATGGATATTGCTACTATATGTTTATTTCCTATCAAGGTGCCATCCATGTTGAAACGAATATGAAGCGTGTCAACCTGATCGAGTTTCATTTCATGTTTACGAGCAACAAATATAGCTGTGCGCACAGCATACTCAAATTTAACATAGGCACTCGACGAAGTGAATAAAATAGGAAATTTAGTGTTAGTTTTTTTTCTAAGCCGTTCAATCTCTTTTAAGGAATAAAGCTTCTTGTGACTTCGAACGTACTGGAAGATAGCATTTAAAGCAGCATCTGTAAGATGATAAGTGTCTTTTAAATGCAATAAATCTCTTTTGTCTTTTGTCATTTTATTTCGTCGATACATATTTTGATTAGGTTCTACTGAAATAGGATCTTCTTCGTATGTGCGTTTGACACCACGTGTACTATAAGTTCTACCAATAATAGCATCCATTTCTGTTTCATTGAAAGAGTGATAATCATTCATAGGAATTTGATCAGAAGCTTTCGAACTCTCATCTATTTGTACAAGTTTCACCACTACGGTTAAAAAATAAGAACTGAATTTATATGATGTACGGTCAAATAGAATTTTCGTTTTAAGTGCCTCTTCAAGAAATGGAACATCTAAGCTTAGATCATATATCAAAGCACATTCTCTGATAAGATGAGAAAGTTCATCGACATCTAAAACTCTTGTCAGATCAAATGAAGAAAAACATTTTTTTACTAATGTATCATTAAAAGTTATTTCCAATGTGTTTGACAATGGATAAAATTGTAAAATATCAGTTTCTTCACTCCTTTTACGAATTAAAAGGATTGGACTTAAATGATCATTATTTCGATACTGAATAAATTCCATCATTGGTTCAATGTGATTTAAACAAATGATAGACTTTAAAACTAGCGAAAAAAGGTTGGTTGTACGCAAAACTCCAATAACGCTTTTACCAGCTGCTCGCACTCGCGCAGACTTTATAGTATGACTTATTTGTAGACTTATTTCATTTTTTAATGTATGTATGTTTACTGAATATTTCATATCAAGGAAAACATATGTACAGATATCAGTAAGAATTTTCTCAAGATTCATTGGTTTGCTGCTCATTGAGAGAGAATGCTGAAAATAATCTTGCAGATAATCAAATGTAGCATCCATCCTCACTAAATTATTACGTATAGAAAAAGATACATGTGAACTATGAGAAGCAGATGGTATAAGATTGCTAGATTCATAATTATTACTATTTTCATCTTCAACAACACTTGATTCAGATATATCCTCATCAGATGAGATAGTAGGCACAATAGTATCAGATATAGATTTCACAACACTAATTGGCAAGTAAACGGACAAGAGACTAGGTACAATTCTTTTTTTTTTGGATACAAGAAGAGAAACAGCATTTTTGCTAGCGCTCACGATGGAACTAGGACGTGCTTTTTGACCTTTTCTTTCTAAAATATCATTTACTTTTCTTGAAATCTCATCTATCACTTCAGAATCTTGCAGTGCTTCAATAGATGAGTACATCGACATATCAACTTCGATCTTCAAGGTTTTTTTCATGATTTAGTTGGTTGATGATAAAAAAAATAAAATAAGTTGTATTTTCTCACTTTTTAGTAGATGTCAAATGATCAATTGTTCCAAATCAATGTTTCACAGGTAATCAATGACGAAATCTATAAGAATAATCAATGTTTAACAATAAGAAACAGAGTTAAATTAGTCTTTCTTTTTTGATAGTTCGGTGCACACACACTACAACCAAGGGCAAGAATTTCTTATTATGTACCAGACAGAGAGAGAGAAAAAATATAGCGCGAAAGCACACAATGCTTATATAAAGAGAAAATTGGAACCATCGAATGCATTTTATTAAAAAAGAAATTATATAACTCTTAAAAAAAAAATGAGATAAAACTTTTACTTCATTCGATGAA